AATCATGTTTTGTGCTGTACATCTCCCCACTTACATAGAATACTGGATGTGGTTGAGTGTAATGTCAGTGGCAATATGAGCCTGGACTCTGTTCGGTAAACCAGCCTGTTCTGACAGACTCGGAGCTGGCAGTACACAAGATCAAACGTCCCGCACCACTCCAAAACGTTGGCAGTGTTGGCCATCGCCCAAATGCTTTTTCGCCCTGTGCGCTTGGACGGTGGATGAGAGCCATTAACACAACGAATCCAGATCTGGCGGCCTCCATCGGCGAAGGCTCTTATCTATCTTGATGTCGGAATGGAAACCAAAGCACATCAACCATGCCAAAGGGCTGTTCTCCCCACGCCGTCGTGAATTTTGCACCCGCACCATCGACCAAAAAAGATATGCACCCCACACGCACCTCATACTGAATGTTGGTCATGACACCAAATACTTCTATGTGCACCTACGTGCAGAATACCACTGATACCCTGGTACACAGACGATTTGCTGAACACAAATATCTTGGTCATAGACAATCAATTGTTATATGGGCATCGGCGCTTCTCCTTGCAGCAGTATCATTGTTGTAGAAGCCCTTTGTTGCTCGTTATGAGTCGCACCGATGCGATTCCCACCCGGTATCATCTTTAGCTACCTTATGACACGCTGGTCCTTTTGAACTGAATGCAGCAGCAGAATCGGGTGGATATGTTTGAGCGTTCTGGACTATAAAGTGGCTCAACCTGACTCCTGTGCAGCCTTCGGGTTCTTTTTGCCTCTTCGGATTTCTCCGAGTATCGAGTTTCTCAATTGACATTCTCACGACGGCAGCTCCAAAATCATGTAGTAGAATGGAGTGTCTTCAAAAAATAGTTTACCGTACCTTGGGCGCACGTTCATTTTTGATTGCCAGGCCAACCAAACGACATGTGTATTGGAAACTACCCAAGTCCCATGTAAGACTAATATGTTGAGGTGTACAGCCAAAGGTGATGGGACAAAAGGTGGCCCCAATGGGCAACGAGCGCATTGTTTACATTATTTGTTTACCTGTTTATAGCATGGCTGTGCCGCTGTGGCCATAAGACGGGATTGCGTCACCACGAAACTATCTGGGGAATTACCTTCCCTTTTTGAACAGACGGAGTTCGGAGGTGGAGGCAAAAGCTGCCAGTTGAAGTGTGGAGTTCAGTCTCTTTAGGTGTCTCCGAAACTCATTTTACCGACGATGACGCCCAATGCTGCGCCGCTTCCTACAACGGGTGAAATTAGGGGGTGACGGCTCCAAATGGCTTAAGTGGTCAATTATAATTGGGTCATGACTGCCAAATTGGTGGGAGGAAGTTCGGACCCTTTCGGTCAGTTTGCCGAGTCATACCGACTCGGACCTTCCCCATTGGCAAGCTCCTCCCAAAAAGGTGGAAAGAAGGGACCAACCGGAGGGTTCCATTGCCGTTGTTGTTCGATGCGTTTGCAGTAACAATCTCTAAAAGTGGGACACTTATTTTCTCCTCCTTCACCAGCTCTCTCCAACGCACTCCGGCAATCAATTGCTCCCACCTATGTCTCGCTTTGATGTCCGTCTGCTTCTTCATAATAACTTTTAGACGCAAGCGGCACCTGAACCGACAGACAGACACCGTGGAAAAAGTTTACAGACAAGACACCAAACGCCGGGAATCTATCCTCCGCACATACGTAGAAGATATAACACAATGCTGTTAGACCCCGCGGACCCGAAGTTACCGCAGAAGATCATACGGCTGATATTTTATGGGTGGGTTAACAACTCATATCTGACAGAGACGTTTGTTCCAAAGTGCTCATTCTTCGGCAACGTTTTCGACGTTTAATTAGAATTTGTTTCGGCATATGTGTCACGGTCTTCATTCGACAATCTGTGCTATGGTTTCAAACAAGAAAATGGGTCGGGGTTGCGTTGATCGTCGCGTAAGTCGTGCTGATGCAAAATCAACTTCTACCAAACCAACGACCATAACATTAACCCACTCCTGGAACAGCTCTCTATTCACGAGTGCAAAGTTTGCAGGCAAAATCGAGAACCTCTACAATCTGGATGAGAACATGGTGTTCGCGTATTTCATGGATATGTAAGTGATGCACGCATGACTTGAAGGAGCATACAAAGAACTGACCATCCATATCACACCCACCCCCCAGTTTTTCCTTCGTCGGCGAAACGCCTCTCATATACGTCAGTTTCGTCAAAGCGCTAGCCATAACATCCGTCCATTGGCGCCGCAAAGCCATTTGGGTCCTCACAATCGTCACCATCGTCGCATCTCTAACACTGCGTATAGCACGCCGAATCATGTTCAATATCATTGGCTTCCAAAATTGGCAGTACTGGGATGTTCATTTGCTGAGTGCGGCGCGGACGAGTGTCTTGTTGTTGGATTTGAGTTTTGCTGGTAAGGCGGAAGTAGGGTGATGTTCCACTGCAGTCAATTCATCTAAAAGGAATTTCTCCGCCGTGTTGTCGACAGTGTACTTCCTCTACCCCCTCGTCATGCCCAGCATAGCTAGAGTGTTTCCAGAATTGCAATCATTAGCTATGCGCTCGCAAAACGCTAAGCGAATAACGGATCGATTGCTAGTTCGCGACTTGCTGTTGTTGGCGTTTGCGAATATAGTGCCATCCGCTTGGACAATCAGGATGGTGGGTGAAGAAGCTTGTCAATGCAATGAGGTGTTGGTACTGATATTGGGGATCTCCCAGCTTGTGGCCTCAGATTGGCCGGCAGGGTTAGATTATGACTTTCAGTCATATGGATTTGTTTGGGTATGTTTGATTTGTTCTTTCCCCACGTTTTTGACTTCGCATGCGATGCGCAGATGACCGACTTCACATCTCCTCCAGCAAATCATGATTCTAGACCTATACCTCTGCACAATATCCGTCACCAAACAAGACAGTGACGCGAAAGATTCCGCCTCACGTATCATCCATACCAGTCGCACTTCCACCGGTCTGCCTGCCTTAACACTGACTTCCCACGCACCTTGCTCATTACCGGATGAGGAGGAGGGACGATATGCCGTTTATCCGTCGTGGGGACATAATGTGGTGGGAGTGGGATGGAATGGGGTGAAGAATGATGCATTCAGAGAGGATGTGTTCAGAGGGGATGTAGAAAGTTGGGTAACGGTGCCGGAGGGGTTGGTGAGGAGTGATGGGGAGGGGGGGAGAGGGGTTGGGGTCAGGCATTTGAGTTGGGAGGGCAAGCCGGCCGCTTGGTAGGCGGGTGGATGGAATATACCTGTTAAATTTCAATGTGGGGTGATTGTACATTTTTGTAAATATGTAGAATATAGTTGGCTGTATATTGTGGACAAACAGATTGGGTAGAAGAAGTTCAGTCTGCGGCGCTCAGCTGGAGAGCAGAATTGTTTGTTTACATCATTTTGTTCACCTTTTGTTTATATTTGCCTTTCCGTACTCAGCCACTTGTAAGATGCGGCACCCTCCTGACTCTCCTGCAATGTACATCGCCAGCCTAACTCAACATGGAATGTCCCAATCAGCCTTCCGTCCTACGAACAACAACTTGGTTTCATGCCGGAAGTTTTGAATGCGGCGAGACATTTGCTTTCGCGTCTGAGTTTCACTCCCACCAAAACCATGTCAGGTCTGACCACAGATGTCTCATTTTACAGGGCAGAAATCGAAACCCCGGCAAGTCTCATCTTCTCTTCCCAAGCAATCACATTTGGAACCTTACATGTCAAAACTTCACATAAGAACGGGAGCAATCGCCCATCCGATTGCGCTTCCCGTTTCGTTCTTCGATATACCAAAAATACCTTCAACATCTGACTTCGTTCCTGTCAACATGCGTCTATTGACAGTCTCGACAACTTGGATCCTTCTCACTTCATATGCGACCGTTAATTGTCAACGTGAGGACTCTGCGCGGTCTCCATAGCCTTCATCTGTCTTTGAGAATATAGACTTACAACAGCTTCTTTTGACAGCTTCTCCACTTGATGAGGTAATCATTGCAGGCCCCGGCGACGGTGCAACCCCTCCCGCCCCTCCCGCTGCACCAGGTGGAGCGACTCCTGCAGCACCGCCTGCAGCAGGTGGAGGGGATGCTCCCGCACCTGCTGCTCCCGAAGCTCCAGCTCCTCCAGCTCCACCTGGTCCCCCTGTACCTGGTATTCCGGTGAGTGTTGCTAAGAATTGAGTGACAAGATGTGGAATTGATCATTCTCTTCCAGCCCTGGATTTTTACCCCAACATCCGGTGATGCTGACGCCCCTCCACCACCTGTTCCCAACCCTGCCAACGGTCCATCTTTCGGCGAGCCGTTCCCTGTCCCCCATGGCGCCCCACCAGCTGATGAGGTGAGTGACAGTCTCCCCCCGGAATAGCACGCCATATATGTAGACAAGTTGTTTGCTTCCATTTCATTCATGAACATCTATTCGACAGGCACCCCCCGCACCAGAAGAATCTGCGCCATCTGCCACTTCCGCCGCCCCAGATCCCCCGGCAGAGACAGAATCCGCCATACCTTCACCAACGACCATTGTACCCCCTCCGGCTCCTACTGCGGTGGACGCTAGCGTTCGTGCAGATGCCGATGTTGATCACGATTCGGGCGATAGGAAGGGCATGGGCTCCTCTAGTGCAGCGGTGGGATTGGTGATGGCGGTCGACGTTCTCCTTGGCTTGTTGATGGGCATATAAATATCAGCCTTTTGCGAGGTGATTGGGAGTTTTAGTATTGTCGGTCGTGTCATGTATATTTACTGGCAGCAGTACGCAACGACCTGGAATATGGACTAGTTCAACCACTTCTTCATTTTGTTGTCCAACACCATGGCGTTGTTCAATGAAAGTGTTCATGTATTGATGTTCATCATATGAGAGTCAGCTGCGGTCAAAGTGAAGCCAACAAAAAAGAAGAAGACCTTGATTAAGCCCTGGTCGTCATCTACGACGGATGAATGTGCTCTGAAGAAGAAAAACAAAAAGGGAGTGGAAGTGTGGGTGCCTGGAATCGAACCAGGGTCGACGCGGCCACAACGCGACGTTCTGCCCCTAAACTACACCCACTGATGAAGAATTGCACAATAGGTGTGCAATATATATATTATTAAACTGCGAACCTTTGGCACCCACTTCAAGCATTGATAATCAGAGACCACAACCAAACCAAAAAAATAAAAATAAAAATAGGTAGTAAATATTGAGCCGCTCTTGTGCACACTTTCTGGGCAAACCCAACGAATGGTAGAATGTCAACAACATGTCCGACGGCGTATTCCAGCTTGGCTGTTGAGCAGGCATTTGACTGGTGGTTCATGTTCCTTATGCATACTGGGGGATGGGCATGGGACCTCAGCAGGGTCCTAGAAGACATGGCGCAGGTAAACAAATGAGGTGGCGCTTGCTATGCATTTACCCTCTTTTCCAAACGATCGCCCTCCAATAACATTATTGGAAAGCATTTTTGTCGAACAATATCATGGAGGCGACGTGGAGATCCTCCATTCATGGTCATCAACTTACGTGACTAACGGTATTGAGATTGTATTTGGGATTTTCGCTGGGGATGTTCAATGGCCATCTAGCGTGGGGAGTGCGAAGCTTCGGCGAACTTCAAGTACCTAGGTGCGGGTCGGAACTTAGAACTTCACATGATGCCCGTTCGTACAGTGTAGTATTCACTCGTGCAAACTTCGAATCCGCATTGGCTTGCACGCCGATATGAAACAACGTGAGAGGATGGAAATAGCATTAACTGTAATCTTGTATCACCAGCACCATAGCGCAGGGGAAGCGCGCGGGGCTCATAACCCCGAGGTCCCTGGATCGAAACCAGGTGGTGCTACTGAGAAGAGGTCGGCGCACGTTTTTTTTTGATTTGGTCGCAATTCTACGTATATTCCTGTTTGACTCTGCAACTGTCACCTCTTTTTTAGATGTCAAAGGAAATCAGCGTTCAGAGTATTAGATACTATTGCTTCACTCGCATATCCGTCCCAAATTGTAACACAACAAGGTGCACCTCATTCGCCACCCACTATTTTGTAGTTTTTAGGGGTCAGCCGACCGAGTTTCCGGCTTGTTGCGGAGGGCTGGAGGGTCCTGCAATCACTCCCAGCTCGGTCGCGTCCCTTCATTTTGGCCTCACAAGGAATAAGCCTCCAACGCCTTCGTGTTTTGGGAAAGTTAGAAGAACTGGCCCATGGAGATTTGCATAAGCCCTGATACCATGAGATTTGCTACTAGCGTTTTAGCAGTCACATGGGGTCGGCGTCTGAATAATACTATCGGAACATGGAATCGTAGAATCATAGAACGGATAGTCCCTTCATTTGTGCGCATCATGAGAGTGTGGTTGATGAGATTTTCCGCCTCATGGTTGGTCAGCTTTGCGACGCCTTGCCGACGTTGCCGACCCTTGTTCAACCCCGTTTGTTCTAAATTGTGCTCGTGTCTTGGCACCACCGGCATGATTAGCAAGGACGTATGACGTTTGGGGAGGCAAACTCAAAATTGAAGGGACCACAGATTAGTGTTTTAACATATACCGCGCATCCCTCCCCTTCACCTAGCGATTGCGAGACGAGGTCAAAGCCCTAGAAGCGACAGATATCCAAGTTTTGACGGCTGAGATTTCCCCTTGCTATTGTTGGGTACCTTTGTCGGAGTTTGGAACGAGTGGCTCGGCGACGATTGGTAGCACACAGTAAACACAGAAGCGCGGTCAAAAGTCCAGGCCAGCCTCTTGGACCCTTCGGTTCTGTCTCCTTCCCTCTCCTTCACCTCCTCTTTCACCAACGTTTTTTCTTTTGAACAGCCTGCCGCTCGCTCACAAGTTCTTCTTCCAACCTGCTTTTCCAACCCCCCGCCGAAAGTCAGGATTGCCTTACGTTTGCCTCTTGTTAGACGCGCCGTGTCGAAAGTGAGAAGGGGGTGCGACGTTATTCTATGTGGAGTGCAACCGGCGTTGGAATGATTACCCTGCTATAGAACATACATCATGACGGACTCGATTGGCTCAATATCCAGCAGAGGGCTTGCGCGTGGGCCCCTTCCCATTATCCTGCTTTTCCTGACATACCTCCACACCACGACCTCCTCCCCACTACCCCAAACTCCCGCCTCATCACCTTCACCATCCACCACTTCAGAACCCACAAGCACATCCTCCCCCGATGCCTCTCAACAACCCATTCCCCTGAAAATCCTCCTCCCCATATTCATCGTTCTCGCCGTTCTGTTCCTCAGCGTGTCAATATACCTCTTCTACCGCTCCTACCGCAACAAACTCCGGAAAGTCCAGGCCCGCCGATCACGGCATGCAGCAAACGGGGGAAGCGTAGCGGAGATGTCAACAAACGGAACGGGAATAACGCCATCATGGGTTGAATCCGACCGTCCTCACCAGCCTGAGACAGACTCCATAGCATCCGACTCTTCCTCTTTCGCCGGTCCGCGTCATATCGTAGTCGGACCACGGTTCCTCGACCCGGACAGACGGTCAGAGTTCTCATTTAGAGCTGATGCCGTTGCGGGAGGGTATTACAATACATACTTTCCAAATGGGACGGGAACGGTTGCGTCGACTATTACTGGGAGTCCAAGTTACATTCAGCAGGGAGTGTTGGGAGCGAAGGTTGCGGAGGAGGGTGCGGAAGGGGAAGTGCAGCAGTTGCCACTGTATGAGGGGAGGAAGCATTATAGTTATCAGGAGTGGAACGGAGATGGGGTTGCAGCTGTTGGGGCGGAGAAGAAGGATGATGGGAAGGGAGACGATGCGGCAAGACCGAGGGCGACATCGGATAGTACTACGCAAGTGTTGGGAGCGGAGGGTAGTAGTGGGGTGAGACCTGTGTCCGTACCGCCGCCGAAATATGATGATGTCGCATAACGTACGACGATGCCGACCGTCTTCCCGATATCTCTTACATCGCCCCTGTATATACCCTTCCCATATGGAACTCTCCCGCGCTGGATACGCTGTAGATAACCCGCCCTTCCCCAACTTGTGGTCAATTTGACTAGCACGTCCCATTAGTACAAACCAACTTAGTTTAGTAATCTCTTTCAACGAATATGGAATATGTAGCTTTCCTAATATATGTACATTGCTCAGGTCAATTGCGGTGATGCTCGCTTCCGTCTCTGTGGGCGTTTGTTTACATCGTGGGAGTTTACATCGATGTGCCACCGACAAGCCATCAGCCACTTGCTCCACCACCGCTCAGTTCGGCGTCGTCAATGTGGTTGATTTGCACGTCAGCGTGTGCGACCGCCCAGATAATCCGGCACGTTCCATTGCCGGCGGCGTGTAAAGATGGATGCTCCTTTGGAATAGCAGGAACAGTCTCAGAGACACAGATTAGTGATTGAGTTCTGTTTCGAATATTCGCGCCAGACTTGCCGGAGGTGGAGCAACCAGGATTCACTGCGCAGCAGACTCGCCCTTAGCGGAATTCGGGCATTGTGGCGTCTGGCCGCATGGAGTCTAAGTTACCATCTCTGCATATTCTGTTCTTCCAACGTTCCTCTATCTGTTTCGCGTCATCGTCGAGATTGGCCACGCGAGCGTCTTGCTTTACATCCCATGCTATGGAACGAAGGAAGACCTTGGTGGTTCTCGGCTTGTCCTGAGGGCCTAATTGCCTTTCCTCCTCAGTTTATGAATTGACTTCTGCTGGGAGTATCAACTCTGGGCAGATCACCTTTCGTAGCCTGGTCATATCAAACCAGGATCCCCCGAATGTTGCTGTAGCAATGTATTAGACCTCATCGATTTGAAAAGCTTGATGAAGATGGATGAAATTATGGATTACGATGCATCGTCAGCCCATTCAACTGCAGCTTCAGATGTATCCGGTCACCGCACCATCGAAAAGATCTCATTTAACGTACTGCCTCATCTTACTCTTGTGGCCGACCAATCACTTCCTGGCGTGATTCGAGAGCTTCCCTCATCGCGGACGGATAGTACTAGCAACGGCAGTGAAGTTGCTCCACGCCAAGTCTTGCTTTACTACGATACGGATGTTGAGTGCTGGGATGCGGTTGTTGCATGGAAGGAGCAAACCACCACCATTGGCAGAGACGATAAACACAAAGCAAGGGAAGATGCATTGCAAATCTTCTGTAAGCCTGTGTGCTCTTACGAGTTATGATGTTATCGGTTATTGCGAACGCTAGCCTAACCTCTCCACCCCTCCCCGTCGATACGGCAGGTCCAAAATACATCCACGCCGACGCCATCATAGACCTAATCTTCGGCGCTGACCGATATGACTACATCCTATGCTACATGGACAACTTGTCCAACCAGTTTGTTAGGGATAGATATGAGCGGTCCTTACTGAAAGCGGGATTAATTGTGGAGAGAGAACAGAATGTGGAGAGGAAGGGGAAGTGGTTTACTAAGGTTATTGCGCCGTTTTGGACGTTGGCCAGGGAAGCGGAAAGGACGGGGTTGATGTTGCCTGTGAAGGTTTGTTCCGGAATTCTGGGTTTGTGGGTTGCTCAACGATTGGATTGATCTTGCAAAACTCCGGTAGCGCCTACAGCGCACATGGCCGAATGTTCACAATAGAGAGACTTCACGTCTACGGAGATGGATGCCTCATATTTTCCGATACCACATAGATCCAGACCACTTTGTCGTGCCATTCCGGATATCGGAACTGCATCAGTTTGAAGGTGGCGATGCACAAAAGGGCAGAGTGTCGAGAGACTTCTTTTCGGAAGCGCATCGGACGAGATTGGTAAGAATATGCGAGTTATTTGGTTAGTGTGGGACTACGAGCTTACTTCTTCTCTGCTGCACAGACATTCTACTTGATTGAGCAACCTAGCCGGAGCGCCGAGATGCGCCAGACTGCCGATGCAGATGGAACGCCAGGATTCGACATCGATGACACCCATCGTAAGTATGACTCGCCCAATGTTTAAGTACTCCCGTCAACTTCTCTACACTCGTCAAAAGAACTCCACGACCTCCTTGAAACCTCAATTTACACCGACGCCTACAACACCCATCACCATAAGTCCCTCCCACTATCAACCACACCCACCCTCCG